GGTTATGCCCGATCAAAGTACAGACTATCGAATCGTTGTTCTTGGTAGTGCTGGAATTGGTATGTTCACTATAATCAATATTTTCTATTAATCTTCAAATAATTATAAATATAGGTAAAACAAATTGCGTACTTCGTTTTGTAAATGGACAATTTCGTGAAAATTATATTCCAACAGTTGAAGATACATATCGACAAGTTGTTTCTTGTAATAAACAAATAACAACATTACAGATAACTGACACGTATGATTAAGAAAAAGAACAAAAACTTATTAATTGAATTTTCAACTTTTTCTTTTATTCTGTTAAAACTTCTTTTTTTTGTTTTTTTAGTACCGGTACACATCAATTTCCAGCAATGCAAAGATTAAGTATACAAAAGGGACATGCCTTTATATTAGCTTATTCTATAACAAGTAAACAAACATTTGAAGATTTAAAGCCAATATATAATCAGATACGTGAAATAAAAGCTGAACAACAAAATGAAACACCTATTTTATTAATGGGTTGTAAATTAGATGAAGCAGCATGCCGTGAAGTAACTGAAAATCTTGGTAAACAACTTGCAACACTTTGGTCATGTGCATGGATTGAAACATCAGCTAAAACAAATACAAATATACGTGAAGCATTTCAAGAACTTCTTAAATTAGATAAGAAAAGACAATTTAATTTTAATGTTGATCAAGATGGACATCTAATTGAAGATAATAATACTACAACAACACCATCATCTCCTTCTCCACATGGTGGTAAACGATCAACACCAACAAATTCAAGTTTATCAACAATAGCAAATAGTGCTAGTAGTTCAAATATGACTGAAACAATAACAACAGTTGGTGCTGCTTCAACACGACCTACGACACCTATCTTACATGGTAACAAATCTAATCGAACATCAGTTATGTCGACATCAAGTGCATCAACAATAAGTGTAAAAAAAGGCTCACGATCTACAATTGAACAAATACATTCAAATGAAAATTCAAGTGGATCACAAAAGATTTCTACGTCTGATCCATTAACAAATCGAGCTTCGAGTCGAAAATGTTTAATCATGTAAAAAAAGAGAAAAATTATTCTTCTTTTTCTTTTTTTTCTTTTTCTTAATTTTCTCCTTCTTCCCTTTTTGTCTATTGTTTTTGTGTATCTATTTTTGTATAATGGCTGCGAGCACCCATTCTGTATCTTATACTGAAAGCAACAGTCGATTTCCGTTTTTTTTGCTTTTCTACAGAAGACAAATTAAGATAAGATTTCTTCACGCATGATCAAATTCTTGTCAAATTTTGAAATTATATCCATGATTATTTCATGACAACAAAAAAAACATTTAACAGACAAATCATTTTTCTTTTTGTTTTGTCAATAATCGGAAGTTGATCTATTGTTAAAGTAGATATAGTCAATTGACTTTATCAATGAACACGAGAAATAATAGTTTCATGTGGGTTTTCTACATCTCTTTTTTTTTTCTTTTCTTTATCATGATCATATAGATCAGTTTTTCTTTTTCTCCCGCAAAAATGAGATGTCAAGCTTCGAACCCTCGTCAATCTAATATATTTATTCATCTGAGTATTTCTTATAGTATCGACTAGTCGTCTATTGAATAGTTTGATCATTTTTTTATAAAAACTATGCATGTTTCATCAGTATTATATCATTGAGATCGATCAATGTCTTTGACATCAATAGTCTTTTTCCGTCTTCAAATCGAACAATCATATAGGTTCTTTGTAAAATGTTCATAGACTACTCTGTATATAAGAATTTTTCTTCTCTCCTCTATATAGCTTATCATATAGCAAGACAGTAGATAAACATGTTTGCTTAACTTAAGTACCAAAATTCGGTATTATTTTGATAATGCTACCTTACTATTATGGAAATATATCAATGTCGGTATTAAAATGCAGAATTCAATGGAAACATAGAGTAGTTCATACTAGAGAAATTATCTATGGAAAAAAAAAACTATTTTTGCTTTATCATTTTCTTTTTCAACTGTTTTTTATGATATAAAAAATTATGATAAAAAAAATAAATTCTTCGTCATCATTCAAAATATTAAATGATGGTTTCTTGTTTTTCTCAGTTCTAGTGAATGTAGCAATGATTATTTTCTAAATTTCATTAGTTCTTATTCGCTCTTATGAATATCTTTCAAAAAATTATTCTTAAGTGATGCAATACTATCGAAAATTTTTTTTTTTATTGAAAACAAAACATTAATTTTTCAGTCATTCGCGTAATAAATATGAGTGATATATATCAAAGTGATATTGTAAAAAAGAGAATTTCAAATTATAAATTTATCATCAATCGATAAGTATGTCATAAAATAGCTTTATGAAAGAACATAAATCAAATTCTTAAAGCAAATTTGTCGATATGTGATTTACAAATGGATTTCATCACGTAAATAACTATAATGACCATCCAAAGATCAGAAAAGTAAATGTAAATATTTTTTTGTATAAAATCCTCTGATTTAGTTCCGTTTCTTTTGATGATAAGTTCTGAGAAGTCTTATCTAGTATTATTTTCCAATAAATACTCATGTCTATAAGCATTAAAATAAGATCAAATTTATTAATAATCAAAAACCAGGTCGTATCAAATGATGAAACAAGGATTATTACTTGAATTTCAACAAAGAAAAACTTCAAATATCGATTGTTGTAAAGATATTTACGATACTGTTGTGAAAATGATTTCGTTGTTGATCATTAACATTCTTAAAGAAAATTTTCTAAAAATTATAGAAGACAATCTCAACGAAGTTTATAATGTTTAATACAATGAATAACAATCAAGTGTTCAATGTGATGCTATAGCTTGTTGATTTTCATGAATTATCGCACACTAAATTATGACTCGATATGATTCATCGAAATCATACTAATTGCTATTCAGTTGATAATGTCATGATAATGATTTCCAAGACCAAGTTATACTATCTAAGATTTAAAGAACAATGTTAGAGAATCATAACCATCAATAGAATTCGTTGTGTTCCTGTTTTCAGCGAAGTAGTTTCCCATTTCAATAGACTTATCAATGAACTAACAACGAAAAACCATATGTATATGATAAGTTTTGAAAGATCAGATTCAATTTAAAACGAGCATAAGTCAATCAGATTAAAAACAAATTGTATTGAGTTCTCTTCTGATAGTATTAAAATGATGAATTTATGTTTTAGTTTATGAAAATCCTAATAAACCTTTGTAACTTAATTTAGTTCTTTGAAATAATTCTTCAAAGAACATGCGATCATATTGTTTGAAAAAAAATAATGAAATCGCTTAAATGCTTTAATAAATAACTATGTAAGTTTATCTTTCTGATAGACTTGTGAGAAATTCTTGATGTTAAATATTGATTAAAAATGTTACACTAAAAATAACTAAAATAATTTAGTCTGTATACAATCAAATGATATATATATACCTATATGAACCATAGACTGTAAACATTTTTAACTGAAATAGTTGATTGGTTTTTTTTAATGGCGTATCATTAGATAGCATTTGACTTGTTTGAGAGATTGAAGGAAGAAGGACCATTGTATTACATCATACTTGTTGTAGTTAGTAATTATAGACACCATGTAGATAATGACAAATCTAGAATATTTATGATCGGAAACAATCATAATCATAAAACGTGTTTTGAAACGTATTAGAGATAAATTTAGCTCATTTTAAAATGTTTCCTGCTAGGAAAAATTGAGATAAATCTTTTTTGAAATTAGACTGATCGCTCTTAGCGTCACATCTATTCTAAATCTCCCACGAGGTTCACATAAACATTGTCATATGTATATTGATAAGTTGACAAGTCGATATGAAACATTATAAATAAAAATAATGTTTTGTGTCATTTATTTGTCATTTAGCAGGAAAAAATATAGAACACAATATAAAAGTATTTATTTGAAGACTGAAAAGTATAAATATACATCATTTTCCTTAAAAGATTGATCAAATATAAAAAGTGTAAACAGATGTCTGTCTAAGTTGGTATTGAATAAAACGTATTTTTTTTCTCAAGTAAAATATGATTGGTTGATAAATAAACAAATGAAATGATATCATAGCATCGTCATCATTATAAACACAAACAATAAAAGAAAAACGAAAGATAATTTATTAAGATTGTTTTAGATGTCTCTATCATTTTTTCGATACGGCTCACGCCGTTATCTGTCAGTTCTTAAAACACAAGTTCCATCAATTACGTCTACCGATTCGAATAGAAAATCTCTTGCTCAACAAACAAAATTATCTGATGAAAAATATGTTAAAGTTTATCAACGAGCAGAAGATATAGATCAAAAACGTGTTACACTTCCTGTTAATAGAGATTTGTTTCCAGCAAATACACCAACACATACTGGTCAAGTCTATGATGATGATGATTATCGAAATGCTCGATTTGTTAATAAGGGAAAATTGGTATATTCAGAGATCAAAAGACTTTCATTTGAATAAATAATTCTTTTTCTTAAGGTAAATCCTCGTTTTGCAATTGATTTGATTCGTGATGATCCTGTTGTTGTATGTAAAGCTCGTGCTGTTTGGTCGGATAGTGGTGGTCCTTTAGGTCATCCTAAAGTGTACATTAATTTAGTAAGATATAAACAAAAGAATCTTTTCTATAATGTTATTGTCTTGTAAATAAATTTAGGACAAACCCATAGTACACAGTTGTGGTTATAGTGGTCGAAAATTTATACAAAAAAAATATTATGATGAAAGTAAACATGGTCCATCAATTACATATGAAGAATATATAGCACAAGTTCGAAATAAAGAAGATGATGCCTATGATTCAGCAAAGGCGATACCATATCAATAAACTTCTGAAATCTCCTTTTCCCTTTTCTTCTTTTTCTTTCTGTTTGTCATTTTCTAGTAGTGTAAAAAAGAAATACCAGAAAAAATTAACACATTTTCTTTTTCTCTTATTTGTAGATTTTTTAATAATGGATCTACTAGGTTTAGGATCAAAGGTTGATATTGAGTTTTTACTTGATCCACAAGGTCAACGAAAACAAATTGAAGTTAAACTAGATGATAGTAGTAATAAACGTGTATTGCAATATATTTATTATGATGGTGAAGATGTTGGAGGAACGGTAAGAAGAAATATAAATAAATCTAATTCTATTTCCTATTTATTGTATATCTAGGTACAAATTAAATTAAAGAAAAATAGCAAAGTCGAACATCAAGGTATTCGATTGGAATTTATTGGACAAATCGGTTAGTATTAAAGTTTTTCAATAAAATTTGTAGGATCTGTTGTTTTGGTAGAAGTAGTCGGTAATGATTGACATTCTAATTCGAGGAAAATATTTGAATCAGAACATTAATTTGAATGGATACTATGTTTTTGTTCTATGCAAGAAGTAATTCAATTCCACTCCAATAGAGTTCAATTCATGGTTAAAAAATAAAACAAATTGACTTGGGATCAGAGATGTGAATCTAGTCTAGAAAATGAGGAAGAAGTGGTGCGCAGAATAGTTGCAACTCCTAACTAGCGACAGAGCTGGTTATCACTAAAAAAAAGTCTTTTTGACCAGAGGCGAGATTTCCCGGCGGCCATTCCTAATGTTACCTGGAGACTTTTTTTCTCATATTTATGTCAGTATAATATTTCTTATGAAACGACTCGCATACGAACAACAATATGAAACCAAAAATACCACCAAAGAGTATTAAATAAAACAACATTTAACCAGACATTTATTATACACTTATAGAATTATTCGTTGGCGTCTTTCAGCAATTTTGTAATTAAATTTGGTGAAAATTTAGATTTAAGGCATATTTAAATATTATACTCGACATAGTGAAAGATACTAAGCTTTGATTTGGATCCATTTTTAATCAATATTGTTTACGATTTATTTGATAAATTAAAATAAAATGAATATCAGATAATCAAACGAACAATATATCATAAAAGAACGAATCTGTCAACAACAAAAAAGTCCTAGCAATAGATTTAAACAGCTGGTATAATTAAGTTCTGGTCGCTCTTAAAACATCTCTTCAGCAGCGCGGCTGAAAGTAACACTTGCTGTCAGATCAAGGACCATTCATGCGAATGGTGTCTATCTCGAATATTTATGAATGTTTTGTAAATAAAATATTCTTCTAGAAATGCTAAATGATCGTAGTACAGTTCATGAATTTATTAATTTATCAAAGTTACTCGCCTTTCCGGGTGAATTAACCGAAAATACAAGCATAGGTAAAAATATTTCCATGTTTTTTTTTCTTCTATTTATTTTTAAATATATTGTTCAAGATTTTCATTTTCCAAATGTTGAAAAACCTTATGAATCTTATATTGGTATTAACGTTAAATTGAGGTATTCTTAAAACAAAACAACGAAAAAAAAAAACAAAGGAAAAATTTTCAGCAAATGATGAATTGAAATTTTTTTCGTCTTTAGATATTTTCTTCGTTTGACAATCATAAGACGTTTTACAAATACAGTATCCGAACGTGACATATGTGTTCAACAATTATCACAATATCCAGAAATAAATAATAGTATTAAAATGGAAGTTGGTATTGAAGATTGTTTACATATTGAATTTGAATATAATAAATCAAAGTAAAGTTTTGTTGAATTTTATTTGTAAGATGTTTGATATTGTTTTTCTTTTATTTAGGTATCATTTAAAAGATGTTATTGTTGGAAAAATTTATTTTTTACTTGTTCGTATTAAAATAAAACATATGGAAATAGCTATTTTAAAAAAAGAAAGTACCGGTAGTGGACCAAATATTTATGCTGAAACTGAGACAATTGCAAAATATGAAATAATGGATGGTGCACCTGTTCGAGGTGAAAGTATTCCAATTCGTCTTTTTTTGGGTGGTTATGATTTAACACCAACAATGAAAGATGTTCAAAGAAAATTTTCTGTTCGATATTTTCTTAATTTAGTTCTAGTTGATGAAGAAGAACGACGCTATTTTAAACAACAAGTATTTGTTTTTTTTTTATATTAATAATTGTTTCTTTTTTTTTTTTTAATTTATCTTTTTTTTCTTTTAGGAAATCGTTCTTTGGAGAAAACAAGATAAAGTTAAACAAAAAAATTCTGCTAAACAATATGCTCATTTTGAAGCTCCAAATCCAGCTATAAAACCAGAAGATAATGCAACGGGTATCAGTGGTAATGAAAATTCTCCGGTATATGGCCGTTCATCATCTGGCAATAATAGCGATTCAGCTAGTGATTGATCAAACATTCAATATGAAGAAGTAACAACAAATAACTAAGCAATTTATTTTGACATGATTACAAATCTTTTTCTTTTTTTTTTTTTTCTATTTGTTCCATTTTGTTTCTTTCGTCGTTTCATGTCTATTTCGTACAGATTTTATTATTATTCTTATTCGTGTAAAAATGAGATGCACTTTTCTTGTTTCTTATGCAATCCGTTCTTGTAATGAATCAGACTGAGTAACACGCATGTATTTGATCTAGTCGATTTCTATTTGATTGTTGTTGTTTTCCTATGAATTATTTTTTTCTTTCAATTTTGCCTTCGAATAGCTATAAAAAGAATTCATTGTAGTTACTGTTATCATATTTATAGTAGATTTATGGACAAGCATAATTTCAATATATCATTTTCACTTAAGTTATTTATAACTATTAAAAGCTAGATAAAAAAAAGATTCTATTGGATCGAAAGGCTGATTTTGTTTTGATAATTTGATTAATCTGTTGATAGAAGTTTCGTTTTTTCGGCTAACTATTCATGACTAAAGATTTGAAATAATTGAATAAATTTGTAAAGAGGCAAAGTCCTCTAATATAAACGACAAGAATGAAAGTTACACAATGAATGGTTAATGCTTGAAATGGATCTTTATATTTATCTAATATAATTTGTCTGTATACAAAATATGTTTCTGTGACCATCATTGTTAGTCTGAACAAACTCTATTGAATGAAAACTCATCACTTCTTACTACATTTCACTGCAAACTGGTGTCTATAGCATCCAACACATAATAGCTAACAATATAATGTTCTCTATAATCAGTTTTTTGACAAGTATCAGTAGTAATAAAATGTATGAAAATTTCTGTCACAATTTGCTACTGCTATTGATAATGAATAACATCATATTACCCTATTCGTAAATGAAATGAACAGCCAGTGAATATTAAATTTCAGATAATATATGTAAGAGAACAATTTTATTAGGATTTTTAATATATGAATGGTTCACTAAGTTCGAATATGAGTGTAGATGTAAAATGGTTTTTACAGGTACTCAGGTAAAATATAACTCTATTTTGAATAAATTAAGTTTGAATGTATATCTAGATTAATCTATTTCCTGTCAATTCGAATAACAAAAAAAAATTATTCTAGTGGTTGCATAGATGCCCCTTCCAATAGAAGTAGCTTTTTTTTCCGTCAATCAAATATTAGGGTGCTTTTGGCTTGTTCGGCTAACTCTACTACCGGAAGAGTAGATGCATTATCATTTTAATGCATTTTTTTCTTCTCATAAGTTTCGAACGGCTAACTAAGAAAACATAAGTGACACCTTATTTTATTTCTTAAAATATACTCTAAAAAATGTATTTGCCATTTTTTTTTGTCTACCTGATTCACTCCTTTGTCTGCCAAAGTAAAAGTATGACAGACCTTAAAAACTTCTGATGACTCAAAGTATACTTCATATTTTTGTGAAAATAGAAAAAGAAATGAACTAATTACAAAGGATCATAATTTGATTTTCTTGAGTAGAGTTTACAAAACCAAATGAAATGTACGTCACAGTTTCTGAATGAGTCGTTCAAAACTTATGAAAAGAATTAAATGCATTGAAATAGCAACGCATTCATTCTTCTGGTAAAAGAATTAGTTAGATTAGGTGATTTTCCTTTTTTTTTTAAACTTTTTTCTGTTCACAAAATCAATTATATTGTTCGTGTCACACCAATATTATTGAATTCGATTCATTTATTACTGTGTGATAAATTAATCACTATGAATAGGTCTTACTTCGTTTCTTTTTGTATCATCAAAGCAAATAAACAGTCAAACTATGTGTGCTTAGAGATGGTCAACAATCTCGTTTGAATAAATTCTTTAAAATCTATTATTTGTTTCGTTTTGCAATTGCAACAAAACAAAAAAACAATAGAGCCTAGATTGACAAATAATATTTTGAACTGCTATGTGTCTAATTTTAAAAATAGATTGGTTTGTATAGATGAATATGATTAATATTAATAAACCTGTCAATCATTTAGTGGCTCCATCAAGTGTATTCATTTAATAAGTACCATGACATGCATGTTCTGAATATAATTGACTAATCATCTGCACTATTTCCTTTATTATTTACAAAAAAAATTCTTTCTATACAATTTCAAACGATTATCAAAGTTTGTTCAAAAGACAGATGATAAGTTCTTTAACTGATACAGAATAGAAAAATAAAAGAAAATTTGTCTGTTACGATTTATTGTCTGATAGACTTTATATAAGATATATTTTATGTTACAATATGCAAATTTCTGTATTATTTTTATAAATTGAAATTAAAAACTTCAAATATCACTGCTATAAATTTTAATAATATGATTTGGAACGTGATTTGTTGTATGTAATATCAACATCGAGATGTATTGAGATAAATCATCATTATATGTTTCTATCAATAATCAGTTTACGGTTATTAAGCAGAACTTATCAAATCTATCGAGACTCCATCGCTCCTCAAAAATCGAGCTTCAGTCCAGTACATTTAAATTACTTCAAAAATATCTTGGAGCCATAGTGGAGAGGCTATGGTAAAATTTTCAGCTCTGTACAATAATGTTTTCGGGAGATATTCAACAAATAAAGATCAAGAATAACTGATTTGACAATTCAAAATCCTCTATGGGCTGTCATTCTATATGCTTAATTGTGTTTTGTTTGAAAGAACGTGTTAGAATGCAGGGTATAACAGAGACGTTTTTTGGTTAATTCTTACTTGTTAAGAGAAGAAAAGTTCAATATCTCAAAAAAATGGCGCTCTGATTACAGAAGTACTCCTTTATATAATAGAAACAAAGCTTAATTCAAAAAAGGGACTATGTCGTGCCCTGCATCTTGATATGTTCTTTCAAAAAGCAAAGCAATCCATTGCAATGCAGCTTCGTCGAAAATACTAGGATGGGCAATCAAAGAAGCATAAACGAAGAAAAAAGGAAAAAGATTTTCTGCTTTTTCTGACAACAGCATATTTTTCTAGGAGGTGATGAAACAAAGGATAACAAATTTTGACAAAAAAAAGGGAATGTCGAATGAAAAATCATGTCATTTATGAAAGATCAAGCCTTCAGCTATACTTTCGTGCATTTACCTTAATTTTGATAATTTTGACGAAAATTGATTTTTATTTGAGAAAATGGTGAGCCTCTAGAAAAACTTCAATTTTGAAAATTTTAATTTTCAAATAAAAAAATACCTTGTAGCTTATTTGTCACGATGAAAACGAGAAATGTTTTTCATTAAATTGAATTTAATCAATTAATACCTTATGTTTGATTTATCGTTATATTTGATTGTTGTTTTGATAAATTGAGAATGAGAATCAGTTCTAAGAGAAACAGAGGACTGAAAATGCAGATGATCGTATCAGAAAAAAAATATCATTAATGAAGTTCAGCTAAACAATATTGATGGTAGTAAAGGAATGAATCTTAAAATAGATTTTGTCGAATGACTTTTCATTTGTTTTTCAAACATATATGACAAGATTGACAATTATTTGAAAATCTAATCATTTTGTTTTCTGCTAATTAAAAATCAGCGTTAGATAGCTTATGATGCATAGGAAAACAATTTTACTAGAAACCTTTAGTTATCAATTTAAATAAAGATTAGAAACAAGAAAAATTAGTTTGATGACGTGTAATTATGCTTTCTAATATACAAAAAAATCTGATCTTGTAATAATTTAATTACAAAATCTCATATGGTCAGTGTATTAATAACACTAATTCTATTTATATAGATTAAATTACATTGTCTGACGTCCGCACTGTCAAATTGAAAGCTCTAGAGCGTCATACTTCATAGAAGAACAACATAATACACTGATTTTAATCTGTTGGCATATTGTCTTGACTTTTTAAATTCAAACATAATATATATTCTTTATAATTTTTTTATTCAAATCGTTGTTCTCACATATACTTCTGGTCATTGTTATATTTCACTAATGTATAGTTGCATCCATAACTATTGATTTTATTATGAGTAAAACTCAAATATTCGAAAACATATTTTTCCTTAACAACTAAATCTTTGTATGCAGTGGGATTCAATATGGAATCAGTTTCGCATTAGAAAATTCATTTTTAAAATGAATTTGTATCAACATTGATCCATCAGTCAAGATCGCTACTATTTAATCGATTGAGATCAGTCGCAAAAAAAAACATTCTTAATGAAATGATATATGTTTGATGGGAATGATCTTTTTGCTTTTTTTTTAAATACTTTTATGTTGACAATATTCTTTGTTGGATAATTAGCATCGAGCATGAAACTAAAATAACGGCAATTCAAATGATCTATTCCCCTGGTTGTTTTGGTTTGTCACTTCCTTCTATCAAAATAAATGAGTAGCACAAAAAAAAACCCAACTGATGCGCCACGTCTATTGTATGTTTCCTTGCAACATAATAATAGCGATGAAAAGAGAAAGGAAGGAAAAATCATACAAGTAGTCAAAGTTTATGTTCCTATTTCTTCCATTTATTCAAGATATGACGAGTTTGTCGATGCTTTTTCTCATAAAGTCGTAAGAAAAGCATAGGAAACTAAGTAAGGTCTTATGAGTAATTCTTGTTTATTTTTTTCTTCTTAGTGTCTGAATTTGATCTTTCAGAATCGTTCGAATTACCTCCAATACCAATTACACCTGATTCTATTGGTCTCAGTATCGCTATTCTATCTGTTGTATTTATTATTTTTCTTATAGCTGTATGTAAATGGACTCGTTGTTTATGTTTCAAACTAAATCCAAATAATAATGATCAAACCGAAAGTGTTTCATCGGTAATACAATCTGATAGATCAACAATTCATCGATATTCACAACGTCCTCGTGGTCAGCTTCAACGATTTTTATCGTGTGACCATCTTGGTGATGTTGATCGATATGTTTGTACTACGAGAAATGGATTATTATCACCACCTCTACCATCTTATAATAGATGCCATTCTAATAAAGTTAATTTAACTGATGTTACGAACACAAGTTTGTCAGTAAAAAGTAATCAACGAGTTGTTCCTCGTCTCTCGATTAATCCAAAAGTTTCCAATTCATCAATTACAGATAGTGTCTTTTCAACCAAACAATAAGTTTTCAATGTTTTTTCTTTTTTTTTGTATCTTTTCTCTCGTTTTTTTTGTAAGAGACAAACGAATTTTATATTTTAAAAAAATATCTTATTTTTTGCCATAATAATGATGGACAAGCGGAAAAGATTATTATATATAGTTACTAATTTACTAGCATTTGAAAAGAATGAAAAAGTAAAGATTTATTCTCTGAATACTATACGTTGACAAAAGTAACATCAATTATTTTAAAATTTATAGAAAGTAAACATAAAATAACTGATCTATCATTATATTTGACTTTATCTTAAAGATGATTCGATAGATTTCAAAATAGAATGAAAAAAGTTATTCAAATATTTATTTCAATTCAAATTTGGATTTTTGTAGATAAGATGATTATTGATTTCTGCTAGAAATTCATCCTTTAAGAAATAGTTTCTCCCTGATTATTTCTTAATAAAGAGATTCCGCTTGTTCTGTATATTATGAAGCTTACTAATGGATAAGGTTACCATCTGCTGACATATCATTTTTCCAAATTATTCACTGATTATTTTCTTTTTCAATAAAAAATAGTCATGTCAATAGTGTTTCAATTAAATTTTCTAACAGGTCTGTTATTATGATAATTCTAGTAAAGAAAACGTCCATGATACTTCTGAATGAAGCGAATAGTAATTTCACCTTCATATTTGTACATGCAAACGCCACTAATTTGTACCGAATTCAATGACTGAAATATGTCCTAGACTATTTTGTAATGCGGTATTCATGAATTCGATCACTCATTATATTAAAGAAAAGCTTTTTTCAAAATTTTATATATTTACCAACTCATTCAGTTCAAATTATATTCGATAAAATTCAAGCATTTGTTTTGAAAACAAAGCAACTGTACAATTCATTCGTAGAAATTATGTTCACGAAAGAATGTTTTCAACTGATCAATTGCTCTCTCACTAGAAATTCCCTGATTGTAGGCTATCAAATATGAGCATGAGAATTTCTTTTAGTTATTCATACAATGGTTTTTTTTCACAATTTGCTGTTCAGACTAATGACTATGTTTTATCCAGAAATAACCATTTGATACAAAAAAAAGTATATGTTTCAGACACAATTAAAGATTCTGTATCACCTGGACACATCTAAAAGTTTTTTTTGTTTTTCGAGAAATTTATGTGATTCTAGAACATGAGGAAATGAGTAACAAGAAAAATTTTCATGCTCATATTTGGTATTAAATTGATTAATTACCTACACTCGAATAGTTTTGAATGAGAAAACGATCGATCAATGAAAAAAAACGTTTGGTCCTCAGATTGATACAAAAAAGCGAAGAGCTCGAGTGATGGAGTTATTTCTTAGTATGAAAGATAAAATTAAGACTTTCATACAATGTGCACCAAATACATAATTTAATTACATCATGCTTAAACCATACGTCAAATTAGTGCTTTTTCTTCAAACTTGGTTGAATGAGTTTTCAGAAACTGTCAAGCATTCGTTCGATGTATCGAGAAGCTATAAAAAAAATGCGAAATTAGTTGTCAAAATTACATCAAATTCATGATCACTTGTACATACTGTAAAACATTGAATTTACAATGATCAAAGTGACCTGGAACTAAAAGAACAAAAAGTATTAAAGAAGAATGTCGACAAATTTCTTACTACTTGCATTAAATCAATATGAGAGAGGGCGCTTGTATTAGTTAAAATAAAATTTAAAAAAAAACTGAGTAAATAGTATTAACGATAATGGATATTAGGATTGATGCTCTTTCCTTCACATAGATGTTGTTATAAAATATTATCGAATTAACAAGTCTATATATATATGAATGATGAACTAAATTTTTTAATTAGATAATTACTGGCTGTTTTATTTAACAAATCGAACACGTTTAGTTATGTGGTTTTTTCCCTCTACTAAAAATGACTTATCAGGTAAACTTTAAAATATGAGAATTTTTTCCTAATTTTTCGTTTCATTATTCAAATAGTACAGTTACAATTCAATGTACAAATAATCTTAGATACTTCTAGTCCTTAAGCTATAAGTGTCTTTTCAGTTTTGAAAAATCGATCTTTTCATCTTCTTGAAATATGTTAATTTCTTAATTTTATTCCAGATTCGATTCTCTTATTAATACCTAATCGAGATTGTTCTGCACAAACCTGATATGGTGAAATTCATAAATTTGAAATGACAATTTGTAGTATTAAGATATAGTATTAAAAGGTCGCATTTATGTTTAGCTGTCTGCACAAACTATAACAGACAGGATAAAGAATTTTTATTACGTTTATCTTTATTCTCACAAGAGCTCATTGACTCTTCTGCGTTGTTTCATATGTTAAATCTATAGCATTTTTCCTTGAAATTTTTGTATTTTTTTTTTGATTTCATATAATAATATTTTACCAAATAAATGTGTGAAAACAAAACGACTTTGAATAAAAGAATAGTGAATTATGTTTCATAAAAGAAGATTAAAATCATTCTTTTATTTGTAGAATTATGAACGAATTTCTAAATATTTTCTTTCAAATTATCCTTTATATTGGTATCATCGCATTAATTGCTTATTTTATATATCCTTTACATGATAATATAGAGAATTATTTTAAAAATAAAGTTGTTTGGATAACTGGTAAGTAATCATATATAAATAAGACGTAAATCTGAAATTCGATAAATTTTTCGTTTCATCATCGAGAAGTTCAATTCAAAAAAATGGCAAAAATTTTTTCTTCCAAATGTCTAACCTTTCTTAAGAGCACCGTGTGCCTCTTTCCAGGTGTTAAAATCAAAGTGTTTTCGTTTTTTGGTCACTAATATACCTTTGAACAAAAAAACTCGTACTGCAATTATTCTTTCTATGCAAAATTTTTCTCATATCAATGAACATTTTTTCGTTTCAAATATTCTGAAAGCATATTCATAGACCGCTTACACAGTTAAATGCGACCAAGTTTTCGATTGCTATGGTTGAAGAAACAACGATCCTAATGCATATCAGAAAGTTTGTTTTGCGTTCTTTTCAAAATCAATTTATGAACAAAAAAGAGCAAATTTTTCTCCCACATGTTACGTCGAATCGGGCTTAAATTTCTTTTAATGAGTACTTTGGTCAAATTGGGATGCGTGATTTTTCTTCTTTCGTCAAAATGTTATTTTTAGATATTTCGGTAACATTTAAAAATTAGTGCCATTGAAAGAAAAACGGTTTTAGACAGTGCTTCCAGAATGGAAGACTTTTGACTATTTTTGACCTTTTCAACCTCAATATCTTTCTGAAGAAAGCATCTGAAAATTTCGAGTCTATGACAGCTTTTGATCTACTTATGCAGACGAACCATTTTCGAGAAATCTGTGCAAAGGAAGGAGAATCTTTTTACAATCAAATGAAAAATAGAATTTTAAAGAATATTCGTTTTCTTTTTTGTACTTATTATCTTTTCTTATGATATAGGTGCATCGTCAGGTATTGGTCGTGAATTAGCAAAAGAATTAGTTCGTCTTTCACCGTCTACTCGTCTTGTTTTATCAGCAAGACGTGAAGAAGAATTACGTTTACTTGCTGCTGAACTTCAACTTGATGCAGATCATTGTCTTGTTTTACCACTTGATCTTGAAACACATGAGTGGGGTTTTCAATCAAAAGTTGATATTGTTCTTGATCGATTCGATCATATTGATGTTTTAATTAATAATGCTGGTGTGTCACAACGAAGTTTAATCAAAGAAACAAAATACATAGTTGATACACGACTAATGAGTATTAATTTTTTGGGTACAGTTACATTAAGTAAAGCTGTACTATTGGTATACAGAAAGAAAAACATATTTGATTTTATTTGAAGAAAATATGTTTCTTTTTAGCATTTTATTCAACGTCAAAAAGGTCATTTTGTTGTCGTTACATCAGTAGCTGGTTATGCTGCTACAGCATTACGTTCGTCATATGCTGCTTCTAAACATGCTTTACATGCGTTTTTTGACTCTCTTCGATTGGAACATGCTAAAGATCATATAGATGTAACAATAGCATGTCCAGGTTTTGTTAAAACAGATATCTCATTAAATGCTTTCGAAGGTTCTGGACAATTACATAAAAAGATGGATCCAAAAACTGAAAAAGGAACAGATCCAACTGTATGTGCGTATGATATACTTTGTGGTATTGCTGCGAGGAAACATGAAATCTATGTTGGTCATTTAGCAGTTGTTGTGGTTTATATACGTCGTTTATTTCCTCAATTACTCTATAGAATATTATTACGTACTGAGTCAGCTTAAATGGAATGAAAAAGACAATAATATTTTACTTTTGTAATTTGTTTCTTTTTTGTTTAGAATGTTTTTAAAAAGTACTATTGAATAATCGTGATTTAGTGATATGTTTTTTATAGATAAAATTATGCATAATACATTACTGATTAATTCATGATTGAATATATGTGAAATTCTCTAATGAAATAAACAAATGATTGTAATGATTATTTGATGAAACTCAAGAAAATCATAGTTTTTACTAGGAAGAATGTCATTATGAAGAATTTTCTATCAATGTTGATGATATCTCTTTTTATATTGAAATATATGGGATTTTTTTCTAACATGACAAGTAAACATAGTCAAATACATCTGCAAATATAGTTTGGTGTCATAAAACCAGCTCGAAAATCAATAAATGATCATTATTACAAATTAACTATTTTTCATTACGGATAAGATTTTGTCTTTCTAAATTTCTGTACAGACTAATATTCATTTCTTTTCTCAATTTATTAAATCAATATTATTATAAGAATTATTCAAACAAGAATAATTATGCTGCATAGCTTTTATCGAAAGTTCTAGTTGAGTTTTTTTAAAAATGAGAATGCTGAGATATAACCACTTTGTTCTCAATTGGTTATAATAAGGTGATAATAAAAGTGGCATTTATCAATATTTACCTATGGTAAAACAAGTAAAGTTTCACATACTTCTTCAAATTATTATAATTAGTTTAATATAAGAAGTATTCGACCAAGTCACTGCCACACTATAGGGCATTATTACCACTCAAGTCCATAAAGTATAATCGTGTACCATAAGTGTAAACGACAGTAGTACATAAACTGATTCAACTGTAAGTTCATGTTTAGTCTAGTTGTAACGTATCGAGCGTAAAGCTCTTCCATTTGAAATTCAACAACAAATACAATGGTACATATACTTTTGATATAAACAATTTTACTGCTTTATTTAGTTCAATGCGACCAATACATTAAACAATAAGTTGCTTTTTTCAGATAAAAATAAAAAAATTCTCGTTGTTTAAGGAAGACGGGACAAACCGTCTGTCACTCGACTTAGAAGAAGCATATGTGAATACTGTAGAATGTTAAATCGTATACAACCATGTACGGTCGTAATTCTGAAGTCAAATATTACGACGACGTACAAACGCTTATGCCTGTTGCAATGCTCGTTCTGAGTGGTTAGTTTCAATTCTATTTCCCAGTATTGATCAACATTGTTTTCAATCGGTTTTATTTGAACAATTTAAAATATGACATACCTTGAGAAAAGCATTTCTTATTATGAATGTTTGAAATAGGGTGTGAGTATGGGTGTGAATATAGCTATGGGATTGTTGTTGTCTTCAACTACATCCACACTCACGCCCTTCTAGTAGAAATCATCTCGAGCTTATATGCTTCAGTGATAAATAGATGTACACGACTTACCATATGAGATGATCATCCATCCTAGAGCTAGACTAAGAGGCTATAAGATTTGATATAAACAGTTTGAACTTTTAGGATACTGCAAGACGCAATATCTTATAATATATTGTTTTGAAACTTATATTCAATAAGTAGTACTATTTCCAGTCGTTCAATGGAATAAATCACAGTCACTTATCCATATTCCAATGTTACACTTGCAGACAAAGTTTAAGCAGAGAATAACAACTGAATTCTTTTACGCTCATGCAAGGATTCTGCAGCAAAGAATTTAAGCGAATTCTTATAGATTAGAACAAAAAATTCAAAAATCTGTTATTTTTGTTTTATAGAAAAAAAGATGTTCTCAAGTAGTCTATGAAATATCATTGACAGAATTGATGATAACCCAAATATTCAAAATAAATATGTAAAGTATAGCATATGAATACGATTGTGGAATTATTTTCGTTTCAATTTTATTTCAGAATTCGAATGCTATTTTTTTGTCATAAAATAGCTGTAGTATCTATTTATTTAGTTTCATATAATCTTTTCAATGGCATTTTATTGAAAAATATAGTTCATTACAATTTGAACAAATTTTTCGAAACAAATGTTTTTGGAATGAGTTCATCAAGTTGAATTCATCATTCATTATTGTAGAATTCGACGATCAACGCCAATCATATGTAACATACTATCAAATAATAAAATTCCATCAATTAAACATAACTGTGGTCCTTGTGATGCATTACGTCCTAATTCACAATATGCAACTAAAATATCACCAGGTCGTAAATACATAGCCCAAGGAAATAATGATTGTCGTGGTTGTGGATTATGATCGAATAATTTCACTTTTGGATGATCTTTTATTTGTGAAAGTGTAGAAATAGTCGTATGTTCAACAGTAGATGGAGTTTTACGTTCATAAGATAATAAAGAAAGTATTACGTTGACACGATCAATATTCGGTGATTGTGTAATATCATTAGTAGTTGTTGTTTGTAAATTTCGATTTTTTGTTTTTCGTTCCACTGTCGGATCATAAGCAGCAACAGCTTGAAGATGTCGTTGATATTCGACACATGTCCACATACGATCAGCAGATTTTAATAATGCAGGAAATGTATCGTTTGATGCATGTATTTTTTCTTCAAAGATATTTATCGTAGATAATGTATGGCAGGTAAGTCGTAGAATATCTTCAAGTTCTTCTGAAGGTATGGCACAAGTATTTAATTCATAAAAAATTGTATGTTTGCATCGTCGCATAGCTGCAATTGTTCCGACGAGTAAAACAGGTTTTCTAAACCATGAAGGTAATAATGATACATCATCTGATGATGATGATGACGATGATGTTGACTTAGCACTACATGATTTCATAAATGGTAATATATCTTTAGGTGACCATGTTGTTGATGCCCATGGCCATGTATCTAAATCATATATAGTACATTGAATGATATTTCAATCTTTTGTTTCGTTAAATATATTCGTACCTGATAATTGATTTACATCAGTAACATTGAATGCTTCAATGCCTTTTGAAAATATTTGTGGCCATAATTCAATAGCTCGTTGTTTTACTCCATCACGAGTAGATAATACATTTTCAATCATACTTGTATCTATGCCCCATATATTGCGTTCACTTGGAAGTTGCTTATGTTCAGTCATTGTACTACTGATTGAATTAACTGAGATATTAGGTAATTTACTATGACAACCTTGTGGAAAATACCATACATTCATTTTATTCTTGACACTTAATAATCTTAAATCTGTATATTGATGATGTGGTGCTTGTCCGAGCCATTCTTGCTGATAAGGTGCCCATTTACAGCATGGACATGTTACAATACCAATAATACCTTCTGATGCATCTACAGCTGCTATGGCATCTTCAATAGCAACATGAGCATGCATCATAACGACAATTGCATTTCGACATTGTATAGATACTGTTTGAATTTTAGCACGTGCCATTCGTAAACCTTTAATACTTTTCCATTCTTTACAATGATCAGCTGTTGTAATACTTCGTCGATTAATAAACGTCATATCAGCATAGGTATCATATTGGAGCATTGGATCAATACTATAACATTGCCATAATCCTTTTGTTAAAAATGCACATAGAGCAGCTGTACGAGGTGTCATACCATCACCAACAACAATGATTGCATTTTGCCGATTGTCAGTTGAAGATATAGATGTTGATAATTGTGGGAAAATGTGTCGCCTTAATGCTGACCAAACAGCAAATGTTTCTGTAATCTCTTTAGAATTGGGAAATAAACCCATTGTGATCAAATCTGGAGCACATCTTAGTTGTAAAAATTCATCCAAATATTCCAAATGATAATCATTAGATAACGGTTCATTGTGTAAACATTCACTTTCTTGCATTTAATATAAATGGATACTCTGGTTTCAATAAAGATTATTGATGATAAAAATAATTATACCCGATAACACTACTTAATAAGCAGAGAAGAAAAGAAACGAGGAAAATAGAACGAATACGAAAAAAAAACAATGTGCAATATACGATGTTTTTCTATTGGTTCTCTTACATCCTTCAACTTTTTGTTTCTTTTTTCTCTCTCGACAAAGCGAACAATGAGACATGACTTTAATATGCATTATTCATTTAAATCAAATACCTGTATAATAATGAACTAAACAAGAACGAAAAAGACATATGATAACTCAATCAGAAAGAATAATCTCAAAATAGTATATGAATTTACTAATATATTTGTACTTAGTTCAAATTTTTATTATAAAAAATATTAAATAATTAAATGAATGATACGTTGAAATCAGTTATTTGAAATCACCGCAAATGTTTCTAGTGGTACATATATTGAGCCACAGTATTCATCATTATATTATATGCTTTACCATATTCGTTTTTAAATTACTAGAAGAAATCGTTACGAAAAATAAACTAAATAGCGCGAAACATTTTGATATTGCCCAAATGAAAATGATTCGATCAAAATTGTAGTCTACAGTTGACTTAGTAGTACAGCACGAGTTTTTTGCTAAAATAAAAAAAGCACAATCTGAACTGAGTCACTTCACTAATTACAATTAAAGAAATATGCATGCTTGCTCATATGTTGAAGCAAACATAACAGTTTCGTACAATATTGAATGTTCTACTGAATGAACTCATGACTTCAATATAGTTATAATCTGCTCTAGATAAACACTTTAAATAGCGATTGCATTATAACTATGCTATTTTAGCCGCTGCAGAGATAATCTTCATATACTTTCGTAATATATAAAAAGAGTGTTGACATACAGACAAGAAAAGGTTATTGCACAACCTGTCACTTGTTGCGTCTTGAATAGGGGGCATTAGTGAAGCATGCTCTGCTCTAGTCCACTCCAACTCTCATGTAACTCGAAGATATTAATAATTGATAAAGCTTAAAATTCTTCATTCAGGAGACCTAACTCTAAGCCATTTGTTTTAACAAACCTTGAATAAAAATAAATTAAATGTCATTTTGAATGGTCCACTCTAAGCCACTCTAATCTATTCTCTTACATGTCTCAACAAGAACTATTTTGAAATGACAATAAATTATCAAAGTCACTCATCCATACATCTGAACTTATTCAGCTTATAATTACCTTCCTTGTTGTTGTTCAATAAGTTCTTCTTTTCCTTTTCTCGAAAGTATTTTTCTATTTTTGTAATTAATGAAAAGAATGTTATACACGCGCTGTAAAATGAGTCATATTTTTTTTATTCTTTTCTTTTTCAGTTTTTTTTTATTTTGTTTCCTGTGCTCTCGCACATGAGAAGTATCATGTTAGTATAAGAATTTGAAGAAAAATTTATCTTTCTTTTTTAATGTGTATTTTGGATGAAACATGGTAAACATACATCTTAAAATGAAGATTTAATGTTTCGGTAGTCTTCATAATGGAAATACAAAGAACATTAGAATGCAGTATGTTTTTCATGTGGCATTTGAAACTGTGCTAGAGTGATAATGAAGCCAATGCTATTAACCTGAAGTTTTTCGATGTCTTCACTGGAAATACATAATATTCGACACCTCAGCAGCTTTCGCCTTATGGCTGAGTGCACTGCTCATTGAACTAGTTGTTGAATATGCACTCCAGTTATTCCACGAATTTGAGGTATCAAATGTTTGAGATTAACGTCATTCGATATTATATGACGATAACGTTGAAGACAGGAATCATCTGATCAAGAGTGCAGCAAATTGTAAAATTCTGCCACTATCAGAAATAATCGATATTCTTCTTAGACATGTTGTTTCTCAAAGAAGGCTGTGGATGTAGTTGAAGATAACAACGATATCCACAACTACATCCACATCCAACGTCTTAATTTTTGTCCGATGATCCCCTTGAACATATTACCATTCTATGCAGAAGTAAAAAATGCATCTAATCAAACAAGAAAAACTGACTCAATCCAACTCCAGGAGTAAATATCAGCAAGAAAAACTGGAATTCGCTGCTAACTTTTCTTACGTTTCATGGTGTATTGCTGCGAGGAAACATGAAATCTATGTCGGTTATTTAGCAGTTGTTATGATTTATTGACGTCGTTTATTTCCTCAATTACTCTATAGAATATTATTACGTACTGAGTCAGCTTAAATAGAATAAAAAAGACAATAATATTTTACTTTTGTAATTTGTTTCTTTTTTGTTTAGAATGTTTTTAAAAAGTACTATTGAATAATCGTGATTTAATGACATGTTTTTTATAGATAAAATTATGCATAGTACATTACTGATTAACTGATTGATTCATGATTGAATATATGTGAAATTCTCTAATGAAATAAACAAATGATTGTAATGATTATTTGATGAAACTCAAGAAAATGACAGTTTGTATTAATAATGGAAGGTCGTGTGTTGTAGCTCAAGAACATTGAACATATTCAGATCAAGTTAAAGATCTCACTGCCAAATTCACAAATTTAAAATATAATATACTTATGCTGTGTCTGGCGCTAGATATTCCAAGTTTAAGATGTTGACTGTATATCTGTGGTATCCCCGATTAAATGTTTCGGAAAAGTTTTTGCTATTATTTTGCATGATGGTTAGATAGAGCTCATCAAGTGGCATAAAGGAAAAAGTCATGCATCAAAGTCAATAAAAAAAAGTTTGTGCAAAACAAAGTTCATGAGAGATAATATAGTGAAACTTATGAAGTTCGTAAAACTTGCTTATTGAACTTGATGCATGACTTTTTCTAATGTCATTCAATGAGTTTTAGCCAACTATCATGAAAAACAATAAAAAAATCGTTCGAATGTTTTAATGGTGGACACTACACGCCTACGATCAATACCTTAAAATTAGAATATATTGCACTAGGAACAACATAAGCACGTCATATTTTATTATCGAGGGTGTGTCAGTGAGTTCTTTAATTTGATCCGAATATGGTCAATGTTCTTGAGTTACAACATACGACTTTTCATTGTGAGTTGTTTCGATTGAAAATATTCAATATCTTAATGAAGATCCAGAGTAAAAAACGTCCACCTTGATGATAATATCGTATTGTATTGAATAAGGCACATTTTCGTAGTGTAAATGAGGATAGAAACGAAGAGTTTTCATGTATTATTCATTGTCAAATTCATTTCCAACTAGATTATCTTTTAATATTTGTTCAAACATGAATGATTGATCAAGTTGATCGAATTATTCATTTTTTAAAGTTTTCACTAACAAATTCAGTAATTGAAATTTTGAACCTAACTGAAATATGTCATGAATTAGGTGTAATTAACTGTTGATTAAGATCATCAAAAATTATTGTAAATCCTTTTTCGTTTATCATCCCAATAAGAAAATTGACACGTTGACTTACAAATCATGAAGTTATAAATGATGATATTGATGATAGGTCGTAGCTAATCTGATATATGATGATTATTGCGGTCGTTTTTTGTTTCATGTATACTTAAATCAAGTCATAGGAGAAGACCATTTTGAGGAATGTTTAATTTTAAATAAAAATCATTGTATACTGATTTTTGTAGGTCGTATTACTAAGGATATATTGCCTAAAAAAAATCAGTTATCCTCTTGAATACTTCTACTTTTCTGATAGCTGACATAGATTACATGAAAAGATAATTTGGCACATATATTCCGAAAGAGCACAACATTCTGATTCTAACTGACTGTTCTTACCTCTCAACAATTGATTCTAGATTTCCGAAAAATGAAAAAATATTTTGTACCAAGACTTTCGCACCATGGAAATGTGTTCTATTCCATATTTGTGCTTGTTTCTTTTTATATACTTCTCGATTATTAGAGCCAAGGAAAATTTACTTTTTAGCTATATTTATTCACAATCTACACACAACATATAATAAACTTTCTTTGAGAGGGGAAAGGTAACTTTTTTGTTCCATGCTCTAATAAGTATATGCATTCTTATTTGTTTGAATAACAAAAAAAAATACTAAACTACTGTACAATGCGAACAATACAATTTCGTTTTAACGCATGGCCAATAGAGAACATAATGTACAAACAAGGACAAGCGAGAAAGAAATTAAACGAAGAAAAAAAACTATAATGAGTTCATATGAAGGAAGAACAAAACATTAATAGTTTATAATATATAGATAATATTTTGTGTAAAGAACCGGATGAATTAAACAATGAATAATTCTATCAATCCATCACACTAAAAAACAAAAACACAATCAAATTTTTCGATACTTTGTTTTTTATATCAATATTTACCCTTCAAATGCTAAATCATTATTAGATTCTGAAAGTTCATCATCATTATCATTATCATTTGATGTTTTGCAATCCGCTCGACATGTAAGATAAAGAATTCGACGAAGTTTTCGATTATAAAAAAAGAAATTAAATGACCAAACAATTCCAGTTTCAGAAAATGGATCTGACGTATCATCAGGACGATAACTATTTTAAAAACATCAATCGAATAAAACTTAATTTTATTTTCTTTCTAGTATTTATTCTTACCTAAATATTTCACTTTCTTTTATATTTATTTCTTCATCAATTACTGACCATAATTGTGGTGATAATGATCGATAATGATCACCTAAACTTGAAAGAAATCGAGAATCTACTTCAGTTTTAACTAACTACATGAGCGAAAAAAAAAAGAATTGAATTTAAATGAATTTTTTCTTTAAAAAAAACGATATACATACTTCAAAGTTAGTTTCTCGACTAAAATCTTGACTTGTACAAGAACTGAATTCATAATCAGGTTGAAATGTTGCATTTAATGTTGATATTAAAAAAATAACTGTTTTGCGTGGAATTGTTTTAACTAATGGTGATTCATCATCACTTGACATTGATCTTGCCATAGGATTTGCATGTAAAATTTG